AGCCAGCATACGGCGTCGCCGTCGCCTCTGTACAGAGGTTCTATGGCTCGGTGAGACCAGAGTGAACACGCACTCTGCGTCGTCGTTGTCACCCTCACTGTCCGCTCCTTTGGAGCCCCGATGTTATCTACAACATCCGACGAAGAGCTGCTGATTCCGCAGTCTTCGTACAATGGATAACGTGCCACTCGACGCGCATCTGAAGAGCCGTGCCCAAGATGCCTCGGATTCTGTCTGACCACGCCATCAATGGCATGCAGCGACTGCTACGCAACGAGAGCAGTACTCAGTGGTTGACGTGCCACTTCACGTGCATCATGGGGACCTCGCCCTCGATGCTTCGGCCCTTGGCCGACCATGTCATGCGTGACATGCAGCGACTGCTTCGATAATCGAGCAGCGCTCAGTGGTTAACGTACCACTTCACGTGCATCATGGGGGTCTCGCCCTCGATGCCTCGGCCCTTAACCGACCATGTCACGCTTGACATGCAGCGACTGCTCCGAAACTTGAGCAGCACTCAGTGAGTTACGTTCCACTCCTCGATCAGCCCGCAAGCCACGCTCGGAACTCCTGTCCCATACAGCGCTGGTGTCTACCAACTTGGATATTTTAAAGTCCAGCACGATGGCCGTCTCGGTCCAGTGCTCTCGCGAATACCGCTTTTGTCTCCTAGCAGAGGTGGATTCATGGATCGCCAAAGCTCCACCAATCAATCCATAGCTCATGGTGTTCCAACCATGCCATTCCTTGGATGAGGTCATACCTTGCATCCAAATCCAAGACCAGACAGCGGTCCACGCTATCAAAGTCAAGAAACTTGACTTCGAGGTCGGACCTTCGGGACCGCGACACGTGTTCCCGTCGCTGGTCGATCAGTGACGATGTTATTCAACCGCGCTTTCAGCGCCGCAGCATACAGCTAACTTCCCTCCATCGTGGAGCGTCGAGCGTAATTGCCCGACTCCCCAGAATCGATGAGGATCTTGCATGGCTTCTCGATGACCTTTACGGTCTCCCCCACAACCAGCAAACCCGGCTTGCATACACGTTCCGTGTTCAAGAGCATGGAGCTCTTCGGGGCTGGGCCCTGATGACCACTACCTCAACAGAACTCAGTTCTTCCCCAGTAGCTCGCCCCGCGCCTACTGGGTGGTGTCGTTTCCCCGCGACGAACCAAACTGGGAGGAATTGGAGCGATGGTTTGAAGAACCTTGACGGGCTTTGCGTCGGGGGACAACCGATCCGAAGGTGACTGGTAGCTCCACAGATAAACCACCGTCGTGTGTTTGTGTGCTTCCCGGCAGCTCGGAGCTCTGCTCCCTCGTCCTCAGCATAGCTGAGATCCATGGGCAGAGACCCGCTCGACGAGCTGTTGGAGAGTGCATTCCAACCAAGTCGTGCCGACTTATAATTGGATTCGGCATTCAATGCCACACTAACTGCCTCTTTAAACGAGGACGGATGCACGCGAAAGACTTCCATTCTGGCTACGCCAGTGCCGAGGCCTTCCATAAAGACGGTCGCTGTGACCGCCTCAAGAAAGAAATTTGCTGCCATCCCGGCAAGGAGAGTACGCATCTCTTGGACAAAGTTCACCAATTCCTTGTTGCCCTGTCGGGCGGCAAGGAAACGCGATTGCACGCGATATGTCTGATTAGACGGCGAGAATCCTCGTGAGAGCTGCAAGTTCAGCTCCGCCTAGGAGAAAAACGCAGCTTCGACCGAAGTGCCGCACGTCAGTGCCCAGTCTCGT